AATAGAAGTGACTAACACATCTTTTGATGGGGACTTGAAAGACTCCTATCTCTTGAAACACCTACCATACAAAACCAAATGTTTTCCAAGCTTTTGGAGAGTCTCAGTGATCACCTTCAACTTTTCAGCACACTCTACAATTTTCTTTTAAAAAAGTGTGCTCTAGCTAGAAGACTTCTTTATTGCTAGTGGCCTAAGTTCCTTATTTCAATAAAGACCATAGCACTATGGTTATTTCTTTCTACAGTGGAAAAACTCCACCAAACACAGCTAGTGACTCTTCCTCCTATCCCCATATGGAGTCACCAGTTGTTTAATTTTAAAATCTAGACAGAAGCCAAAATACACACCATAAGCAACACATCCTTGTATTTGCTGAGACATGGGCAATCCTGGAAGAGTCATGCAGGCAAGCCACCAGTCACTGGTCAAATAACAAGTGCAGAAAAAGTTATGTGATTTCTACATAAGGGCATATCTGTAACCCCCCACTGAAGAGCACTTCTGTTTCTTTCACTGGTGTACGTAATGCAAAGGTGACTAAGTTCATCTTTGATTCAAAATGTTAAAATTAATATGAAAGTTTAAGTTTTAATGACGATGTAAGCAGGAAAAGAGCACACTACTACAACCCTTGGGGCATGTCCCAGAAGTTAAATAGTTGCTTAAAGCAGAGTGAGCTGAATCATCTTTCCTGCCTTGAGTTGGGGTTTGTTGCTATCAACTGTGCAGAGCATGGTACATCCTGGGCCTCCTCTGTACAGGACCAGACACTGTACACCAAGTGGTGAGAAACCAATAGTGTTGTTTTCCCTGCTGCTACCTTATCTTTCTGTGAATATAAGGGCACAAGTAAGGGTAGCAGATTACAAGTGATAGGCTCCCAGAAGTGTGTTTTAAGAACATGGTGTTTCCTGTACTCACTGAGAATTAAGACAACATCCAGCTCATACACAATATTATGAAAAATGAGACATGCAAACCACTGAAGTTCACTGTAAATAGGAAGCCATGCAGAAAATTACCTAACTCTCATCTAAAAAGCAGCATCACATTATAGCCAGCAAGAAGCCAGGGCTACCTACCCTAGCGCTGAGGCTCGTCATGCTTTAAGTGGCAGAACCAGCCAGATTTAATGCCCAGCACCAGTTTATCAAATGTCATCCTCAAAATGGATCTATACACTCTTTAACTGCACAGTGCAGTTGCAAACATGAAAGCAGAAATATATTCTCTTTCTCAGTCCATTCCCCTTCAAAGGCAAGGCAGATGTTATTTGTCTGCTCTGTAACAGCAATTACATATTATCTCTTACTGGACAAAAAAATAAGTTATATTTATTTTCAAAGCTACTTCTGATTTCTTTTTTAAATGCCTCCTACATTTTCCTTAGATTTCTTCTCCCACAAGACCTTTGAAATACCAATGGAGAAAGCCTCATACCTACTTTGCAATTCACCAAAATTAATCTAATAACACCTCCTGCTGTCATCTGTCAGTTAGAGTAAGATTTATAAGTGGCAGCAGAAATAATTTTCATAACGTTTACTGGAATACCAATACCTTGAACAGACAGCTCCTTCAAAGATACTGCTCATATCAAGTGAAATCTGTCACAAAAACTAGAAATTCACTTTAACTGTATTTGAAAGCCTGATAATTCAAAAATAAAACACCAACTGGACAATACCATGTGTCTGTGTAGAAATACATTCTGTCTGAGTAGGTGCAAGATGTCTTAGTTTAATATTTTGCCTGTTGATTTCATTGTACATGTCACCTCCTGGAAATCCTCCTTCTATACTGCTCATTATCACTGCTTACATCTTCTGTGTGAAACTGCTGAACCCATTTTTATTTTTCACATGCATTAAGAGATGTTTCATGAACAAAAAAAATCTTACTTTTTTATCACTCTGCTGTTCAATTAATGAACATGGTCTTTTCAGCTAGCTAAAGCCTAAGTTAGGAGAACTTAGATAAAGTACCTAATATTAGGTATTGAAAAGTAGATGAATCCAATCTTTATAAAGGCAAGCTATTTTGAACAAATTAGCAAATCTTAATGCTTGTGAGAAATATCCATCCTCTATATAAAGTATCATAGGTTCACTTTTCTTTTTCAAACCACCAACAGTATCACCTCAACTTTCCTGCCTTCCTTGTTCTTCAATCTGTTAAACTTTGCAAGAAATAAAAATGTCTTCAGAGGAAATTTAACAGGTTTGTATAAAAAAGCCAAAAAACCTGCTTGAGACCATTGCACACACTCTAGAAAACCAGTAGGCAGAGCTAATCCTAGCTTTTTAGACAATTCTGCAACTCCTAGATTTTATCTGGTTTTTAATTAAAATACTCTATAGACAAAGATCCTTATCTGCTGAATTGCAACTTTTAACAAGTCTTCTTCGTATTATTACTTAAGACGAGTAGAGAATACTAGAGAATACAAATTTAATATTATTACTGCTATTTTATTGATACTTTTTTAATAAAGTAAGCATGCATTTCTATTAGAGATCTTTTACAGATTCAAGCAGTCTTCTTTATTTCTCAAAAGATATTTACTTTTAAATGCCCAGGACTTATCATAGCTGTTTGCTATTCTGCATTAAATTTGGCTAACTGAAATCTGACTTCACCTTTAAATAAAGTGTGAATCCCTTTTTGTACTAGTATTATTTTCTCTTTAAAAACAGAGAAAACATATATAAAAATGAAGAGTTCAAACACTGAAAGACATTCGTGAGGTCACATTTCAGTGGTAAAGAATGCCATTAATATTTAGTCTACCTTAATGGAAGAAATTCGAGTTAGAAGATACTTTAGGTTATCTTGTCCACCCTCATGTCAAGGGAGACTTTCTTGCTATGGCATATTATTGATTGTTTTGCCACATACATTTTGAACTTGCCAGTAAGTTCCCAGTTTTAAAATCTTAAATGTTGGTGAAGCTAATTTCTTCCAAAGCATCTGTTTTTGAGGTGGCTTTAGCAGATCCAGCCTATGTCTCTTCCTTCTTAGTATCATCTCATGATTACCACCCATTTATCACATTCTTCTTTCCTAGTAAATTCAAACAGCTAAAAATAAAGATAACAGAAGTAATTACCAGACCTTTGTGCCTTTGCTACAGGACAATTTCAAGCCTCTGAATTTCCTTGGAAGCTTTCTACAAAACAGTTTAGATGTTTGCAATTTTAACAGCTGACAGAAGTTCTCTATATTTTGTGGTCCACAAAAGAGTGACTTCCTAAATGAGACTCTTCCTTTAGATTACAGTGGATTTCAATTTGCAGGATTACCCCCAGATTATTAGCAGAATATGTATTACACGAATGGGGATCCTTTCCTTGTACCACCATACATTTGTATGTAATGCAAATTTGTGTAAGAAACAGACACAGTTTACTCTGCTAATGTGACAGAAGTCTTGTTTTTCTCTTTAAATTTCCAAAACCATTTGCTTCATATGCAGATGTTACAGCATGTGTGCTTACAAATAGCACCTTCACAATTCCCTTTAAAATTAGTTTTGACTTGTATCATTTGAATGATCCACACAGTTTTCCATGTGTTTTCCTTTGAGTGGATAGAAGTAATAATGCTGCAATTTAGCATTGACATAGGAACATTGATTGGGAAAACCTGCAAATATCTGTACACAGCACAGCATTCACATTTCCTTCAGCAAACTCAGCCTGGGTCGGTTACCATAATCATCAGTAGGAGCAGCAATAAACCGAACCACACAATGATGCTCTTCCAGACCAAAAATTTCACAGTGAAGTGTGTGAGTTTTTTTCCTCACTGAATTCAGTGACCACTTTTTCCACTGACACCAAGAGTTTCCATTCATTATGCCATAAGTATTAAAGCCCTAGTACATTGGAAGCTATTCCTGCCAGAAGAGCCAACAGTTTAAAGATACACAAGTTTACTTCTATTGGAATTCACAATTTGTGGTGTTTGGAAGAAATCCTTGAAAAGTGCCAACAAACAGCTCAAAAAAAATGGCCCCGGCTACAGCTACAGCTACCACCTTCTGAACACACATTATCAAGAACCAAGGAATTGGAAAGTTATCTAACCAACACCTTTCCAAGTACCGAAACACATTATTTTAACCCAAATTCATTGGGACCCAGGAATGTTTTAGAGATGCAGTAGCTATCCTACAGGAGGTAGTTTTCCAAAGGCACACTCACTTGGTTCACCAGGAAGTCAAGATTGCCAACCACTAATGATGAAGATATATCACAAGTACGGTGGGCTTGGAACTTGCCTTCTAAGAAGGGACACGATTTGAATAATCACCTAGCCAGTCACCTCTCAAGGACCAGCAAACATTCTCAGAATGAGGGTTTCAGGCACAGCATAAGATACTGTCACCAGCTCCTTCTGAACAGACCTTGAGAAGAAAGCCTCAGCAACTGAAGTTATAAATGTACAAATGCCACACATAACAAGTATTTAAGGATTTCTGTAATCTGGATCTTAAAATGACAAGAAAAAAAGCCCCCGAAATTTTGTTCCTGTTCTCGTCACCAGCCCCTACAGTTTAATAAGTCAAACGTAAAAAAGATTTTTGTGGGGTATGGATCACGCACAGCACCACATAACCGCCTGTTACAGCTGAACTCATACACTGTCCCTCAGGCTGCGAACCCTGGGACAGACTCAACCACAGTTCTCCGTTCCTAAACGCTTCGCCGGGCTCAGGCTGAGCCCTTTCCTGCCCCTGGCGAACACCACTCGCACGGCCGCTCTGAAGGAAACGCTCCCGGGGACAACAGACCGCTTTTCAAGAGATCTTCCTCTCGAAATCATAAGTCCTTCCGACTTCAGCCTTTACCGACTGACCGAGGGGCTCGGCAGGAAGCCAGGGCAGGCGGCGGCGCGGACACCCACCCCACTCCTCCCCACTGCGAGCGCTGCCTCCCGCGCTCGGCACCGGCCAGCCATCCCCGGCGGAGGCTCCAGCCCGCTCCCAAACTCACGTGGTGCACCAGCCAAAGGTTACACGCACCGCCGGGACGAGGATGACACCGCCGTTAGAGGCGCTTCCCACCGCGGAGCGGCCCCGCGCGGGGACGGGCTCACCCGCGGCGGAACGCCCGCGAGGGCTTCGCTCTCCCGGCCCCCGAACCAGTGCCGCATCCCTTCCTCGTCCGCGCCGGTCGATGAGCAGCCCGGCTAGGCATCGATAAATCAAACCAGCCCGTCCGCTCCGACGGAAAGCGGCGTACGACTCAGCCGCGGTCAAAAACACCGCCCTGGGGGCACGGCGGGCGGGCGAGGCTGCGCGGGTGCCGGGCTCCCAGCCCCCGCGGGGCGGCGAAGTGCCCGGGATGTCGGTGTCGTGCTGCCGCAGCGGGCTAATCCCGGCTACTTAACCCGGCGGGCGGCGGGGGCTCAGCACCACCTTAATCCACAACGTGAGCGCGCCCGCCCGCCAGGAGCTTGCAGGGCCGTGGCGTGCCGGCCGTGTCCAGCCGACACGTCGGGGTCCCCGACGGTGTGGCTGTGCGCTCCCGCGGCGGCTCAGCCCCGCATCCGCTGCCCTCAAGGTCACGCCGTGCCCCGGCTGCACGGAGGCGGCCAGGTGCACGCTCCGGTTACCTGCGGGGAGAACCGGCGAAAGCCCAGGAGCGCGGCACGCAGCCCCTCCGGCCGCGCCGCCCCCCCGAGCGAGCCCGGCCACGGCTCGCAGCCCCGCGGCGGGAGCGGAGCAACGCTGCACCTGCCGCCGCGCTGCTGCCCGGTCTGTCGGCGCGCCGGGAGTAGGGCCGCCCCGAGCCGCCGCCGCGCTTACCTCCGTGCCGTGGGGCCGCCACAGCCGCCGGTCGGGGGCCAGGACGAGGCGCCCGTAAACCTGACGCCGCCCGCTCGTTCGCTCGCCGAGCGCACAAGGTCCCCGCGCCCCCCCCGCCCTGCGGCCGCGCGAGGAGGGCGGGAGAGGGGGCGGGGGGGTGAAGCGGCGACCGAATTGGGGAGGGAAGAAGGGAGGGAGGGGGCACCGGCGCGGGGAGAGCCGGGGGAGGAGAAGGAAGGAGGGAGGGAGGGAGGGGGGCGCGGACCGCCCGCCCCGCCCCCGTCGCCTCACCGGCAGGAATCAGCGATTCGCCCTCCTCGCGGGCGCTCCCACCGTCGCCGCCGCCGCTCCCCGGGGCCCGCCCGCCTCCTTTCCCCCGCACGCACCGGGCAGCGCCGAGCGCGCCGCCGAGCCCCTGCGCCGCAGAGCAACCGCTACAGGAGCCGGGCGCCACCGGGCAGGGCGGGGCGGGGCGGGGCGGAGCGCAGCGATCCGCCCGCCTCCCGCCTCCGCCCGCCCGCCGCGGTCACTCACTTGCCCGCGCCCGCCGCCCCCTCCTCTCCCGGCGCCGCGGCCGCCGGTCCCCGCCGCCTCCCTCGCCGCCTGCGGAGCGCGGGCCACGTGACGGGGCCTCTCTGTCGGCCGAGGAAGGGGGGTCTCGACGTGCGGGCGGGAGGCTGACGCGCTTGTTTCCATGACGTCGGCGGGCGGGGCCGCGGCGTTTGATGGAGCCCGGCGGGCTTCGGGGGTCGGTGACTTTGCCACGAGCGGCTCCCGCGGGGCGGGGCGGGGGCGGAGCGAGGCGGGCTGTGGTGTCGCGTCCCTCCGCCCGTGGGTCGCGGGCCGCCGCCAGCGGGGACGCGGGCCGCCTCGAAGGGGCGGGGATCCCCCGGCGGCCGGAGAGGCCGCGGTCCCACGAGGGAGGGGCGGCCACCGTCCGGACCGGGGCCGTGCCCGGTGCCGTCGGGGGAGGCGCCCTAAGGGACCGCCGGGCGCCCGGGGCGCGGTCCTCCCCTGCCCCAGGGGGCGCGGGGGCGCCGTGCCGTGCCGGGCCGTGCCGTGCCGGGCCGTGCCCGCCGGGGCAGGGGCGGTGTCGCCCCACGGCCTCCCCCTCCCGAGAGCAGCCGGTGGGAGCCGCGTTGGCGGCTCCTGAGCAGCGGGCGCGGGGAGCGCGGCGGAGCCTGGGCGAGGCTCCGCTCTGTGTGCCGGGCTGCGCTGCAGCAGGAGGTCCCTGTTGCGTGGGGCCGCTGGCGGGTCCGGAGAGGCAGGAACCAGCGTGTCGCTCGCTGCCGACCGTGGGGATTAGGGAGCTCCGGATCCAGCCTCCCGTCAGGCGTGTCCGCCTCTCGGGGAGCCCTGGCAGCTCCCCCAGGAGAACGGGGAACGTGTAGGGGCCGCAGGTGTTCAGCGCTTCCCAGTCTCCAGCCGAAGGCTCTTTGATTGGAGAAAGGAAAACAAATGGGGTTATCAAGGTTTGAGCCCGAGTGAGCTGTCCGGAGAGACGCTGGTGGTGAATTACAGGACTGAGAATTACACTGGAAATGAAAACCCTGATTTCAGTTCTCTTCCAATGCAGTAGACCTCCCACTGCCCCCTCCCCCCAACGAAAAATACCCATCCATAAACTATGTCATTCTGTAACCCATTTGTGTGGGGGTTTGAGATGTGTTTTGACACCCTCCACTCTCATCTGTTGGACATCTCGCTCGAGTGACTGGCCAGCTGCATCCCAGGCTGTCAGGTTCTTTGAGCCTGCCATAAATACCCTGCTTCACCTTCATTATCGTTCAAATCCTAGCGCTGCAAAGGAAATGAATGGAGAAGCTTATGCAGCTCTACAGTCGCAGACCCGAGATGATGCAGAGCCTAGAGGGTTAAAGCAACAGGATGAAGTCAGCACAAAGCAGCCCACAAGGACTGGCAAATAAATAAATCATCCTAACTACGCTATTATTATGGCTTGCCTGAGGTTCATTGTCTCTTTCTTTTTTACCTGAATGTCTGTTACATTCTTCTCCTTGCTCAAGAGAAGCAATCAAAAGGGATTGTGAGCAGTAAATGGCTCCTGCCCATTTTGAATGTTGCTAAAAATACTATCTTACCTCTCCATATCTAGAGGTCAATTGAAAAATCAAAATAATGAGGTAAGCAATCCTGCAGACTGTTCTGTTGAGGAGATTTCTTGCATTTCTTCCCAGAAGGAGAATATAAAACTATGTGAACATACATAAAACAAATTCTCTTGCATTCTGTTTGCAGTTCAGCACCCTCCTCTGCACTTATGGCTGTAGCTCAGTGAGGCTTCCTTCCCCAGGCATTTGGAAATTACATTTCTCAATACAGCTTTATAAGACTGGCAGATGTGTTCTGCACAATTCTGTCATATCTCCTGGCTCTCAGGCAGATAAAATTAGCTTTGGTACAGCTAAGAAGGAGATGATGTGTTTAAAGCACTGCAGTTTGGGTGCATGTCTGTACCTGCTTCCATTTGTCTTGAGGGAAGGTGGGTAGGTTGTGCTTCAATACTTTTTCTATGAAATGGGAATAATGTCCTATTTTATTCACAGGAAGGGAGCAAAGGTAGGAGGGGTACATATAATCATTATCTTTTATGACAGAATTCTCTAAGTGGATACATTTTTCAAGGCACACAATAGTCACTTAATGTTCCTTTTCATTGATACACAGGGATAGCATAAAAACATGCAACACATTGACTGAAAATAAGGAGGAATTTCTTATATCTCCACATAATCTTCTCCCTGAGGATTTAAAAATTTTCCAAATTAATCCTCAGTATCCAACATGCTTCATGATTTTTTAAATTTTATTTTCTTTTTGCGAAAAAGAGGTTCTCCTGCTGTTTCTGAAGATTAGGACATATAATTGACTAACAGAAAACATTCTCCATAATGTAGGTCACCAACAGTATAAAGCAAGCAAAACCGAGAAGCAGAAAGGACTATTTCTGGAGATCTTTCATTTAACTTTTGGAGAAACGGCATCATTTCAGGAAAATTCAGAGTGGTTTGCAGACCATTTGGAAAGGCCAGATTTGATGAATCAGTGCCAGTACTTCAGCCCATTCCATGACCAACATGCTAACAACACAAGCATCAAACATTTTAATAGACACAGAAAATGTGTCTCAGCAAATATAAGTAGATTGCCTGTATCTAATCTACTTACTATGAGACTTTTAACATAAGAGTAAGAATTAGAGTATTTGGATCATTACAATATTCGGTCAAAAATTATTAAGGTGACCAAGATCTAAATGCCCACCTCACCATCCTGTATTAACTAGGGGATTTTTGGCAAAATCTCACTATGGGCTCGATCTGAGAAGGGAAAAAACAGGCTTTTCATAGTTTGTGTATAGATCTTAACTTTATTGAAACTGTTTTCTTGACTGTTGTTCTACTGATCCTGTTCAAACTCAGTCAGTTTATTAGATTGGATGGAAGTGGAGAGCACAGACACAGCATGAGGAATTAGGGGAATATTTGTGTGAGCAAGGAGATATGAGTGTCTTAAGCTTCCAGGGGTTTTGCAGAACCAAAAGTTTCTGTACCAGGCACGCGTTTCCCAGTTGATATTAGTTCAGTACTACTGGTTGACCAATCTCTTCAGTCCACCATGGAGAAGATCCCTGTTTTCCATGCTCCTGGCTGATGGGCTGAGCTTGTTCCTGACAGGCCCTGGAGGTTATGTCTTCTGATTGTTCTAGTATCCTCCACCCTAAAAGATCAATCTGTTTCCTAAAACACTAAACAGCCACCTAAGATAGGCAAACAATAGACTACTCACTCATCTTTAGGTGGCACAATGACCAAATTGCTCTGTCATTCACCCATGCAGCCTAACAATGACCTTGCGTAACAAAACAGTATTTCCATTTCATCTTGAAATCTTCCACCCCACCCTTAGGAAAGAGGCTTATCTGTAAACATTTGCATTTTTATCAGTTCAAAATTCTTCCTCTTGACTGTTCGGGAACTCAGGATTTGTGCATAATGTGCTTCCCTTCGAGAATGCATATGATAATTTCAAATAGTTGATTTTATTTTCTGTATTCAATTTGCCTCTCAACAATTTTGGATCATCTGGTTTTTGGGGTTTTTTGCGTTTTTTTTTATTCGGTTTTATGTTTTACTGTGATACTGCAGGATCAGGAGGGTGGAAGATTAAAAGAATAAACAAAGAAATATGAAGAGTAACAGAGTTATTACACAAATCGGTTTTCATGTATGTTGTATATTAACAATATATAATATTGTTATTTTATGTTGTATGTGTATCAGAAAAAGATACACTGGACTTAATATGTTAATTGTTCCTTCTTTACCTGTTCTTTTCAAGCACATCTGCAGCTCAGCAACACTACAGTCCCAAAGCAAGTGAAAGAGTGGAAAGGTATTTCCTGAGCAAGGGCAGGATGCCTACATGTAAATTTAAAAAAAAAAAAAAAAACCAAACCAAACCAAACCAAACCAAACAAACAAACAAACAAAAAAAACAACCAAAAAAACCCCCCCAAACAAACAAAGAAACAAAAACCCAAACAAACAACCCAACAAAAACCCAAAAACCAACAAAACAAAACAGTAAAGCATAAATCCTGGAATTGATGAAGAATTCAATCAGTTAAAGGATCAAGCAGGCATGAGAGAGAAGGGGAAAATAGAGCTGGGTGGGGTAGCAATAATTGAAACATCTATAAAGAGCAGGAAAA